AAGGGAAGGAGGACACTGGAGAGGGTTGAGGGATGCATTGTGCTCACAGAGCAAGTCATTCTAGGACTCCAGCCCTGGCCTTTTCAGAAGCCCCGCAGAACAGGCCCCCTCATAGTGCTGGTTCACACAGCAGAAGGGACTTGTCTAAAATGCCGGTGCTCCTTGGCTCTCTGGGCCGGCCAAAGTGGGTCCCTTCCTGGGCATCACTCAGCTACTTTCCAGGTTGCCTTGCCCAGGCTCTGTTCTCTTAGGACACACGTGGAGGTCACTGCACAGAAGAGCAGCCAGTTCCCAGGGAGGCCTGCACTGTTCCCCACAGATGGCGGCCAGTGAAGAGCTCCAACAGTGTCACTTATTCCCTGGGAGAAAACTAGGTTCCAGAAGGTCCCACCAAGGGAGAGGACATGGACATGGGGCCTGTTCCAGCACAACACCAGAGACTCTCCATGTGATACTCAGCAGCTAATTAGTGGACATGGGAAACACAGGCCTCTCCTGAGCCAGCTCCATATCAATGATAGCAGCCTCTCCAGGAGTACGAGAAGCCAGAACCGGGAGACTGGCAGTTCTCTGTCCCCTGGGCACCCCAGGAGGTGCATCTGGGTCCTGCAAAGTCTTGGGATTGGGTCCCAGAAGTCCTCAGGTTACAAGTACTAGAGGTAGTGGTGCCAAGTGAGCAGGCAGCAGCAGGAATGGGGTGGCCACCGTCAGCCCTGTTAACTATAGTGGACATGCTCTGGGCCTGGAGAACCTCACAGAAACCTCTACAATATTCTCTCTGATCGACCTCTGAAGAGCTCTCTACAGACCTGCTGATACAGATTCCCACTGAGAAAGATCCCAGAATTTCAGACACTAACCCTTGTGAACTTCATGAATAAAGACACCAGACCCTGAAACCTCTCCATAGAGACTTCCACACAGAACCCCTCAGAAGGAACTTGCTAGAGTCCTTGGCAGAAATCCACAGATAGAGACTCCAAAAACCCTTTCCAGAAGTCCACCCAGGCCCTTTCCCAGACTTCCCTAACACAGCATCCACGCACATCTGTCAAGTCCCTCATGATAATCCCCCCTAACATTCTACAGTCCTGGACATTTTCACAGACCCACCCGCACATCCACACAAATGTCAGTAGATGTTCACCGACAACCACTGCTGTGGGAAGCCCCTCTGTATGCTCTGACTATGGTTCATTACCACTGGTTAATAAAGAAACTGTTTGGGCCAATGGCTTAGCAGAGTAAAGCCAGCTGGGAAACCAGAATACAGAGAGAGTAGGCAGAGTCAAAGAGACACCATGTAACTGCTGAAACAGACAGATGCCCAGAATTTTACTGAGTCAGCCATAGCATTGTGGTAATATATAGATGAATAGAAATGAATAAGAAATAAGAGATAACTAGAAATAAGTTTGAGCCATTGACCAAACAGTGTTGAAATGATTCATAGTTTCTTTGTGATTATATCAGATCTGGGGGCCGGGAAATGAACTATCAGTCTCCAGTTACATAATGGTGCAAACATGGGCCAATTACATCCACATGAAACCTGAGGGAGCTTGGGAAGGAATCTAAGACACAAAAGAACAGAGTTAAGAAACGAAAGAGAAGTGTTAAGGACTGCTTATTGGTAGCAGCATTTCCTCAGGTAGGCTCTGTTTCCTGGCAACGAGGAGAAGCACATCTTTAAGAGAAGCCTTCCTGACTCAGCCTTAGCAGCAAAATCTGACCAGCTTCGTTAGGAGTCAGCTTCCTGATTTGTGCTGGTCGCATGAAACTCTGGCTCTTTCTGAAGGTCTTGAACTTAAACTGGGTCTGTGATCAGTATGCTTATAAATTGCCTAATGGCGACATAGACCCACTGTGTCCCTGGAGCTGGGATGGTGAGCACGGGGGTGGGGGACGAAGGGAGGGTGGAAGGGGAGTTGGGAGGAGAACTTTAGGGAATGGGAGAGTTGAGATGAGAGCATGGAAAGAGATGTTTTAATTGAGGGAGCACTGTGGGGTCTAGCAAGAAACCTGACGCTAATTTCCCAGGAATTCACAAGGATGACCATAGCCAAGGCCCTAGGCAAAAGAGGAGAGGATGGCCAAACTGGCCTTCCCCTGTATTCAGATTGAAGAATATCTCAAATGTCACCATAGAACCTTCATCTAGCACCGGAATGAAGCAGAGGCAGAGACCCGCAGCGAACACTGGGCTGAGCTCCCAAAGCCCAATTGAAGAGTAAGGGGAATGAGAATGTGAGCAAAGAGGTCAAGACCATTTTGGGGACACACACTGAAACAGTTTATCTGAGCTGATGGGAGCTCACCAATTCCAGTTGGACAGGGAATGAACCAGCATAAGACCAAGCTAGACCCTCTGAAAGTGGTTGACCATTGGATGGCTGGGGCAGACTGCAGGGCCACTGGCAGTGGCACCAGGATTTATCCCTACTGCATGTACTGGCATTTTGGAAACCCATTCTCTTTGGATGAATACCTTTCTCAGTCTGGATATAGTGGGGAGGGCCTTGGACTTACCCCAAAGCAATGTACCTTACCCTCTGTGAGGAGGAGACGGGTGGGGAGGGGTATGCCATGGGAGAAAGATGGAGGGAATGGGAGGAGTGAAGGAATTGGAAACTGGGGTTGGTAAGCAAAATGGAAAAAAATAAGTTTTTCATTTTAAAAAATAAAATAAAATAATAAAAAGGGCCTAATTATCATTGCCATTGAGAATTAGCATTGTCAGAAGCCATATATTCAATTATTATTTGTATAGCTTCTCAATTTTGTATTATTCTATTTACTGATGAAGTCAGCCTTTGGAAGAAATCTGTGAAGGCTTCCTTTGGCCCTGTGTGATTTTAGTAGATGTCTCAATTTTCTTCCCTATTTCTCCAATTCTGTCCCAAGCATTCAAAGCTGCTGCATGGCATAAATGCAGGGTGTGGTCATCACATAGAGAATGCCATTGTGCATCGTCATGAGCTCCCTCTCTAAGAAGTTGATCTTGGCAGATTTCCGTACCTCTAACCCTATTTTGTTGTTTAATGGTCGAAACCTCTTCTCAGAATCAGGTACTTCATTGCACTTGTAGACCAGGCCCTAAAAAAAAGTTTTAATCAAGTCTACACTGTCTTTAGGGAGAATTCTATTACAAACTGACCATGAGTTTAACACCTGTTTCACAAAAGGTGAATGCATGCTATGTAAGACTATAGCTTCCTTGAAGCTCCTTAAATCTAACATTTTCACAAGAGTCCATTTAACTCTTGCATAGCCTTGGGGAAATTATCATTTGGCAATTGTTCCTGCAAGATGACTGGAAAAATTAAAGTTGGTTGTTTGAAAACCTTATGCTCTTCCTCTCTTTTCTTATAATGCAATACTGAACTTGTTTCTCCCTTAAATTCCTAGTCTGGATATGACTATCTCTGTGACCTGTTTTATTAAGTCTTTCTAAAACTTCTTAGCTCTCAGATTAACCAATATTTTTAGTGATGTCTAAATTACTAAAGCAGATGTTTACAACTGACATTACATAAATCCCATCTAAAAATAGTTATGTTCTCATTTAATCATTCCAGTTTCAAACTGTCCAGCATATTATCATACAGAGATCCAAATTCCTCCATTGTAATAGTCTCTCCTATTTTTAATGTGATACAAATTTAAGGTTATTTTTGCTATGCTATATAAATTGTTACTCTTGTTTTATGACATTTTTATATTGATACAAATATAAGGTTATTTTTGCTTTATTGTACATATGTTTAACTCATGTGTAAGATTTTTTTGTGTTGATACAAATATAAATTTATTTATCTTACACGGTACATATGTTGCTATGTTTGATTACAGTGTTACCTATGCAGCTCATACCTATCCAGCTCGCTTAATTATGCAGTGTGAAGTTTTAGTCCTTGGAAGCTATTTAAGATAATAAATACAGATTAATAGTCACCCATAACTATCAAACTCATAGGTTAGTTATGTTTTCAAATTCATATAAGTGACATTCAAACACTTCAAAGACCTATAGAAATTGGCATTTAAAATGTTTTAATAATATAGGCTTTTCTTGATATAAGACACTTCTACTCCTGGCAGCATCAATCTGCTTCAAAAAAAAAAAAAAGCGATGATGTGTATTGAAGAAACTCCATATGAAGTTTGCTTCCTTCGTGAAAAAACCAAGCCATTTGTGCAAGAAATTGTCATTGCCTTGACTGCTGACTGTATGCTGTCTGACCTGGACAAGCAGGATACACAAAGAGTGACTGCCAGCCTTTGAAAGACAGGGTAGGACACTCCTTCAAAACTTCCTGCTTCAGAAAATAAATCTGTCCGATATTGTAGTCCTGTAGGCCAAAGATGGATACCCCAACACTATAAGGAAACTTGGGTGACTGTCCAGGCAGCCAGCTGTTTCTATCATTTCTCTTAGTGTGAGAAATCATTTGCTCTGCACTTCCTGCTTACTGAGGTAAGATTCTATCCTTCTCAGGTAATTGATGGGATCAGACACCAGACAGTTTTTCAAATTAAGATATGAAGGTAAGTTTTAGGTAGCCAGACTGTCAACAACAGTGTGGGGAAAGGTGTTATTGAACTAGGAGATCCACTGCGAAGACTCCTTTGAGATGAGTGTGATTAGAGGAGGAGGGGAAGGTAGGGAAGGAGAGAAGCCCTGGCTTTAAAGTCCTCCTTCCTCACATTGTTTCTTTGAAACCTTGAAACTATACACAGATGCTCCTCAACTCAAGACCCGGTCACAGGCCAAAACCCCATCTGGGTATAAATAACGTGATTTTGATATGGAATGAACAGACCTATCAAGCATCACAGTTCAGCCCTGACAAGCTTGTGTTCAGAACACTTGCTTAAACTAATTGCAGTTAGGCAAAGCCATGCCAAACAAACCCTAATTTATAATTAAGTACTCAATAAGGTAAAAGATTAAAAATGGCACTGAAAGAAACACAAAGAGTTGATAGTTGTGGACTCACCTGACTGGAAAGCTGACAATGTATGCACAGGACCATGGACGTCAACCTCTTCTATATTCCTCCCAAGTGAGAACAAGTGTCTGGAACAGAGCGGGTGACAGGGACAGTGAAATCAGAGTGAAATTCAACCCTTACTGGCTATGGGGCAGGTGAGTCAGAAACCTAGATGTGGTGTCTATTTAACCCGCCATGTGGAGGCCTTCACCTTCCTGGGAGCCCACCGCTGTGGTGTAGACCCAGAATTCCAAGACCCTTCAGCTCTACCTGTCTGCACTCCCCTAGGAACCTCCTCCCCTTTCTGATCCCCTCAGCCTCCTCCACCCCTCCCATGCTTTGAAATCTGCTGTCACCATCTCCTCCCAGTGCCAGATGCTGCAAGGCTCTCAGGCTGGGCTACAGTTAACAATGTAACACTGAGCTCTGGGGAGGTCAGAGGCCCCAGATACTGTGACTTCTATGCTGCTGGGCAACTCAGCTTCTCATTCAAGACTCAGCAGCACCAGCACCACTGAATTTCTAGCAAACATCATGGAGGACAAAGACAGGTTGGCTGCTAATGTCTGGATGTGGATCCTTACAGGACACCTGACAGCAGTTAGATTAACAAGGGCAGACCTCTTCTCCATCCAGCAGCACCACAGACTGGGCAGTTAAACTGCCAAAGAGCAGCAAACAGTTCAGAACAGCTAGCCCAATTGGCTATAGGCAGCTGGTCCCATCATGTGATTCTTTGGTAGCCTGTCATTGACTGAAGCATCATTGTTGTGATTGGTTGAGTTGATGCCTACAAGATTATCCTGTAGTATTAAGCTACAGTTTACACAGTAAATCAGGTTACAGATGACTTTGTGTGGTGGCCACAAACATACATTTGTGACAAATGTTATCAGTCAAAACCTGGATAAAGGTGCAGGTCAAACAACTTAGAATTTAATAGCCTCAGGCTGATCATCCTTTTCCTGTCTTGAGGGACTGACACAAAACGTGGGTGTGACCAGTGACACCTCCTGCCAGGATCACAGTGACCTGCTGCTCTCCAGACAGACTTCCTGATCCCACAGTGTCAAGTTAGCCAAACATTCCAGGATTTTACCCTTCTGTTATTCAGAGGCCCTTCAACAGACAAGGACTGCGGGGTACACCTGTTTACATTGGAAAGGAACTTGAACAAAAGTGTCAACCTACAATCAATTGCCTTGCAGGAAGAATAAACACCAGTGAATATATATTTTAACCTTTGAAGTGTCTACTAGATGATACAATGTAGAAGGAACAGGGTTTTTTATGTTTTTGTTTTTTTACAGAAGCCACCATGAGTCAGTTCAAGCAAATCCACAGGAGGCTCTGACGTAGGAGTCCCCTCTGTGACTGCCATTAAGGAATAAAGAAAACTGCTTTGTCCTCTTGATAGGGCAGAACTTAGGTAGGATGGGAGGACTGGACTAAATGCTGGAAGAAAGAAGGGCAGAGTCAGGGGACGCCATGGATCTGCTGCCAGAGACAGACATGCTGAAACTTTGCTGGTAGGCTATGACCTCATGGTGTTATAAAGATTAATAGAAATGGGTTAAATTGAGATGTAGGAGTTAACCAGTAAGAAGTTAGGGCTAATGGGCCAAGTAGTGATGTAATTAATATAGTTTCTGTGTGGTTATTTGGTTCTGGGTGGCCGGGATGATCAGGCAGCAAAGCGGCCTCCTGCAACAAGGATCAGGTCTTAGGCAGCTCAGCAGTTGGTGGTGGATGGTGGTGCAGGCTGAGACCACATGTCCTCTACTGCTCATCCCCTGTTCCCAAAGTGTGAGCTCCGTGAGGCAGCAGCCACACTCCTTTCTTCACTGCTGAGTTCTCAGGGCCTAAGACAGAGCCTGGCACGTAGAAGATTCTCAGAAAACCTTGTCAGATAAATGAGTGGCCACATTCACCTGACAGTCTCTCTGCTCTCTCTAACTTTTGCTTGCATGAGCACGTGCACACACACACACACAGACACACACACACCTCCAGTGCAGGGAACATCAACCTTCTTACTAAACCTGAGCATTTCGTAAATGATCTCCTCAGGTGACATTGGTTTATCTGTCATACAGACACTAGCATTTCTCTAAGACATTCAGAACTTAGGAAGGAAGCCATGGTTCCTCATCTTGCCTACTTGACAGGCCTGTACACATGCCACTTCCTGTCTGGAATGCCCATTTTTCTCCTCCACCCTTCCACCTCCCAGAGCTAGATTCTTACAAATATCTGTGTAAACCATGATTCAGGTCTGTCTTTCCTGAATCTGATATTTGTGCCTTTTGGGCATTCTCACAGTCCTAGTCAAATAGTTCTGAGTGAAGAAATACAACTTTAAAGCTACGTCATGGAGCAGTAGTGTTTCTGTAAGAGACATAAGGAACGCACTCACGGATCTGAGCAGGCATGCTCTGAAAAGATGTCAGAATGTGCAGACCAGAGTGTGTGAAGTCTCTGCTGGGAGAGAGAGTGAGGAGAATGTGTGTGGGGTAGGACACACTAGAGTTTCTTCTGTCCCTTCTTCTATAGCCTTTCTTCCACATCAAGGATGCACATGACATACAAGTCAGCGGAGGTAGAGCCCAGACACAGAGATGGAGCCAGAAGGCTTAGAATTCCCATCACCTTAACAATGGCTTAGATTGAGAAAACCTGTACTTCAATATAAATTCTGTTCCAGGATTTAAATCCTCATTTAATTCCAAGAACAAATGGAACATATTAAGACACTAACCTTTGATGTTGTTGTTCAAACTTGCTCTTAGGAAATCCAGGTTTAACAACTGTAGCAAAGGAAAATATGAAGTTACCAAACACAACCCTATGCCTGTGGACCCCAAATGATCTTACAGAAGCCCACCCTTGATTCTGGAGGAGACACTTGAGAAGATCTGAGGCTCCTGATTTTCTGTTTCCTTCATTTCCTTCTGTAAGCCTGATGCTTTAGAGACTATCCTTCTCCCACAACTGAATGCTTGGAATAAAGAAAGTGGTAATTACTTACAACCCACTAACTGTGGCATTAAGAACAAGTCACTGTGAGAGCCTGGGTTTCCAAACACAGAGATTGACCAGAATTTCAGGATAAAAATCTAGTTAGGGGCCGTGGAGATGGCTCACTGGGTACAGTGTTTGTTGAAAAGGGATGAATGCCTGGGTTTACATCACTAGCAACCACGTAGAAACCTAGATGGGGTGGAGCAGGGGTCCCTAACCCCAGTGCTGAAGGGCAGAGTCTGGCAGATTCTGGGAGCTGAGCCAGTCTAGACAAACTGGCAAGCTCCAGGCTCAGTGAGAGACTGTGGCATAGCATATGGTGGGAAGCAATCGAGGAAGATGTTCTCAAGTCAGTCTGTGGCCACCACACGCCCCACCAGGGTGAGTGCTCTTACACACACACTCATGCACATACGTAACATATAAACTCCAGTTCACCACAGCTCAGTCTAGACTCCATCTGGAAAGTGTTAGAACATGTGCGCACTGCACCAGGTGAAGACTGGAGGTGGGGTGAAGACTTCAGCTTAGTAGACTGTCTCTTATTCAGGCCTGGCCCCTCCTCTTTGAACCTTCTTGTCTCTGCTGACTGAGCAAGCAATATGGCAGCTTCAGTCACTCTTATTTGTCCTCTTTTTTGGGTGTGCCTGACTGCCTGTACTGTGTTTTTCCAGGCAGGTTAGTTTTTTCCTTGTTTGGTTTTTGCTGTTGTTTTGTTGTTATTATTATTATTATTGTTATTATTATTATTATTATTATTATTATTATTATTTTGTACAGGGTTTCTGTGTGTAGCCCTGGGTATCCTGGAACTCACTCTGTAGACCAGGCTGACCTCAAACTCACAGAGATCTATGTGCCTCTGCCTCCCAAGTGCTGAGATTAAAGGCATGCACCACCACTACCCAGCAGGTTCATTTCTTTTTAACTAATCCTAAGCCCCATCAGTGGCAAGAGAAAGCAATGCCTGAAAGGTGATTAGAAATAGGCTGACTTAGGAAACCCCTGGCAGAGTCCCTAGGTGCACACTCCAGGGAATGCAGGCCATGAGAAGTCACCTGACTCTCCTGAGAACACCAAGGGCAGGAAAGCAGATAAGGAGGTCAGCTCCAAAGAGTCCCCCTGGGGACACTCATTGAGTTCAAGAGAACTGCACCAGTGTTTGCCAGGCCTGACACTGAACAGGGGCTGCTGTTGTGGAGGAGGAAAGGAGCTGAAATCCTCAGCTTATTTTGGACTCCTTTTGTCTCATCAGTGGTGCGGAGGTTTGCTCAAGTGTGAGTACTTCCTCATCTTGAAAGACACAAACAAAGTCACAGAAGGCAAGCCATGAGTCATCCCTGCTGGGGATCCTGTTGTGTCACCAGGAGGGAGTCTGACAATTCTGGGCTTATCCTCTGAGGTGCTTTAAATGCTCCCAGGCTCTGGCCCCCATTCATCCTGAGACTCTCTAGTAATCACAGCTGATGTAGGTTCTTACTGCCTGCTGCTGGCTGCTTCTTAGAGGTTAAAGAATATCATTTCACAGTTCTCCAACTTTGTTGTACAAAAGTGAAAAAGAAAACCCACCCGGCTCTCTGTTGAATGTGCAGTGATTTAAAGGAAGGTTTGAAGCCAGAACCTTGGAGCTGGCACTAGCAAGCTTTATTGCTCCCTGTCCTGGGACCTCCTTCCCAGTCCAGGACCCTGCCAAAGAGTACACCAATGTACTCACCACAACTCATCCCTGGTGGATCCAGAGCGCCCTGGGCTTTGGCAGCCTAAGGGAGGCTTTAGTCAGATATTTTCAGTGTCTACTCTAGACAAGCACAATAGGAGATGAAAAGGAGTGAAAGGGGGCCCGGGGGGGGGAATGCTAAAAAAAGAAAACTACATTAGATCTTTCATTACCTGGAAATATTCATAGCAAACAACCAACAGAATATATAGAGAGATAAACACAATGTGGTATTCATATATGTAGATATACATATAATAAATATATATATATATATATATATAAATATTAATGCACAGTCTGTCCTAGAATCCTGTAGTTCCACATCTGTGAATTCAATCAACCTCAGAACAAAAATATTAGTAAAACAGTTTGCATCTGTATTGAATATGTAAAATTTTTTTCGGGGCTGGAGAGATGGCTCAGAGGTTAAGAGCATTGCCTGCTCTTCCAAAGGTCCTGAGTTCAATTCCCAGCAACCACATGGTGGCTCACAACCATCTGTAATGGGGTCTGATGCCCTCTTCTGGCCTGCAGGCATATACACACAGAGAGAATATTGTATACATAATAAATAAATATTAAAAAAAGAATATGTAAAATTTTCTTTTCCTATAAATAACCCCTAAATAATACAGTCTACCAACTATGCACACTGCACTTACTTTGTCTTAGAAGCAATCTGGAGTGGTTTGAAGTATAGTTCTCAAGTGCATAGGTTATGTATAAATCCTCTGCCATTCTGTAAAAGGGCTTTACTTCACAATGCTTAGATTTGGGTCTGCATACAATGTAACTCATTTCCGTAGATGCTCAAGTCCCTTGAAGAAAATGGTGGCGTGTTCACAGTAATCTATAGGTTTTTTTCCCCTGTTTTATGATAATCTTTTGGTACACTGCGAAGATGTGCTACTCTCCTTGATTTAATAAAGAGCTAAATGGCCAATTGTTAGGCTGGAGTAGGTATATGCAGGAGAGCCAGGCAGCCAGAACTTTGGAAAAAGAAGGACAGAGTCACCAGTCAGGTGGAGATGGAACAAGACATGGAAGAGGACAGGTAAATATCATGAGTCATGTGGCCACTTGTAAA